CACCAGAGGGTGGGGGCAGGAATAGAAACCTAAAGCCAGCTGTCTGGTCTGAGGAAAAGGGGCTGCTAAGATTAAACTTAAGGTAACTCCTTTCCCCTTCTCTGAACTTTCCTTATTCCAGATTTTGTTGTTGACCAGACTCAAGCTGTCAAGTTTGCTCTGGATATGGCACGGGGCATGGCCTTCCTACACACACTGGAGCCCCTCATACCCCGGCATGCCCTCAACAGCCGAAGTGTCATGGTAAGGCTTGAGGCTGCAGTGTACTTGAGATGTCTAATCCAACTGTCATTTGAGCACAGATCCCCACTACAACCAACCTTCATCTTTTTTCTCAGATCGATGAGGATATGACTGCCCGTATCAGCATGGCTGACGTGAAATTCTCTTTCCAATGTCCAGGGCGCATGTATGCCCCTGCCTGGGTGGCTCCTGAGGGTAGGGGGGGATGAAGGCAGAAGATAGCAGATTTAGTGGGGAGGTGGGGGACAGGGAAAGAATCAGCGTTCTTATCCCAATCCTCTCTCCTGACCCAGCTCTGCAGAAGAAGCCAGAGGAGATTAATCGTCGTTCTGCAGACATGTGGAGCTTCGCAGTGCTGTTGTGGGAACTAGTGACAAGGGAGGTACCATTTGCTGACCTCTCCAACATGGAAATTGGCATGAAGGTCTGGAGGATACCGGGGGGCATGTTGGGGGGCAGGGAGAAGGGAAGGTAGAAACAGATTTATGAGACAGAGAGAGGTCCTGAATCTGGGATTCTTGCTGCTTGTAGGTTGCCCTGGAAGGCCTTCGACCCACCATTCCTCCAGGTATCTCCCCACATGTGTGTAAACTCATGAAGATCTGCATGAATGAGGACCCAGCCAAGAGGCCCAAGTTTGACATGATTGTGCCCATCCTGGAAAAGATGCAGGACAAATAGAGCCATATGGGGTGAAGGGGGTACACTTATACCCCCTTCCTAGCAGCAGGCCCCAGGGCCCTTTCCCTCCCCTGGCAACGGTACAGCCACCTCAGCTCCACCCTCACCCCCAGCTTTAGGGGTTACCCTCCCTGCCCCATCTGCCAACCCGGGAGGGGATGGGGTAGGCTCAGCTTTTTTTCACACCACGCCAAGTCCTACTTCTCGGTGTCTTCCCAGTGTGGGAGGAGTAGCCACCTGCCTCAGTCACAATAAAGGTTTATTATGAAAACAGGCTGGTGTGGGGGTGGGTGGGGAGGAGGGAACAGGACAAATGTGCACACACCCACATGTGCCCCGGCCAGCCGGGGAAGAGGTGAACTTAGGTGAAGTAATGTGGCTTCTTGACATTAATGCCATACTCGCTGAGTGCAGGGGTCAAGTCTTCCATGGTCAGGGTATACTTTCGATCCTTGGAAAGAAAGTTGAAAGAGCAAAAGTGTGAGCCACGGATGTAATCTTGGTTCTTGCACTAACATGTTACATGTCCCAAAGCAAAGCACTTAACCAATTTGGACTGAGTTTCTATGTATATAAAATGGGGATGATAATCCCTGTGGCTTTCCCAGGGCTAAAGAGGCCTACCAGTAGAAAGTTTCTCAAGTTCCACAGCCCCAGGGAAGCATTTATCACACCACCAGCCTAGTCCCTTCTACTCACTTTGCTCTTGCTCCTGGAGCTGCCTGAGGCAGTGCCCTTCATCTTGCAGTGTTGTAAAGCATCATTGGCAATGTCAGAGATGAACTTCTGGGCTGCCAGGGAGATGAGCCGGACACTGGGAAGGTAGAAGGAGTTGGCATGTGGGGATAAAACCAGCCCCCCCTCAGTTTGAAGTCTATACTTGGTGTATAGGAAGAAGCCAGAGATACCCACTAGATGCTGGGGACTGGATTTACTGTCCCAAATCACTTACATTCTAGGATCAGAGGCTTCAAAACCAGCACGGTTCAGGTAGTAACCAGTAACAGCATCTGGAATCTAAGAATGCAACAAATCTTTAATCAGTTATTAAGTACATACTGTATCAGGTACTACTCGAAGCACTTGGGATACCAAAACAAGCAAAAACAATCCCTAGTTTCAAATAGTATTTATGGTCTAATCAAGAGAGAGGTGGTGAGGGGTCTATGTGAATGCATCTACACGTCTACAGATAGAAGGGGTGGGGAGAGTCAGTAATCAGGAAAAGCTTCATGTAGAAGGTAGCTCTTGAAATGATCCTTAAAAGAAATAAGCCTTTGGGAGAATTTAGCATTTGCTGTAGGCTAAGGCACATCTGAGACATGGGAGGAAAAGACGATTTTTTTTTTTTTGCTTTGCTCATCAAAGATATTACAGCCTAAATGGAAAGATGAATCTCATAGCCAAACAAAAACTAATGATTAGGGGAATGGCAAAAGCTTGGCCAGGAAAAGCTTGCTGGGAACTGAAAAAGCATTGACTGGTAGAATGGTGATACCTACTGTGGGTGTGTAGTCTTCCAGTTGCATGAGAAAGTCCACCAGGGGTGTACTAGACACAACAGGCTTGACCTCTCCATTGGTAGCACCAGGTAACACATACACTCCATTAGACATGGCACCTTCAGGGGGGGCGGTACCCCCAGCTGCAGATACTGGGACTGGCAGAGGATACATAACAGGAATTTCAAATGAAGATTAGGGGTAGGGGGAGGATGTTTGGGTAGGAAGCCAGCACTGAATTCAAAAGGAATCCCTACTCCCACCTAATCGTGTGGACCTGCTGATCTAGAAGTGCGTAACACTTGGTCCTCTCGGCTTGCACTTATCAGCTCCTCACCTCCATTCCTTTGTTTCCCCAGCGCCCTGGAAGACTCACCATCCCACCCACCCCAGTCCTTTAAGGACTTGCAGAGACTCAAGGGCTGGAAGAGCCCTCGGTCAGCTTCTCTTTGAGGACCTGGGGGGAGGGCGGTTGGGAGCCTTCCATCCCAGGGCAGCTTTGCTTTTGTCAGCACGGTATTTCCTGACGTTGATGCCTCAAGCCGTCTCCCACATGAGAGCCCCAGTTCCCTCCGGCTCTCCTCACCCCATACGGGTCCTGGTTAGCTTCCCCCCGCGCTCCCCGCTCACCCGAGGCCCGGCGGTCGGACGTATCCCCCCGGCCAAGGCCGGGGCCTGCGCCTCCCGCGGGGCTGGCCTTGCTCTCGGCTGGGGCGGGAGCCGGCGCCGGTGCTGGGGTCGGGGCCGGAGCAGGGGTAGGGGTGGGAGTTGAGGCCGGGCCCGGCGGGGCAGGGGCAGGGGCCGGGACCACCTCGGGGTCCGCGCCACTGCCACTCATGGCGCCGGGCAGGAGGCGGGGAACGGGGAAGGAAGCGGAGACCGAGGACTAGGAGGACAGAACCGCTTCCGCTTCCGTTTCCGTTCACGGTCTTTCCTCTCCCCTCAAGCGACTTCCGCCTACTTCCGGCTCAAGCCGCACCCTCCAATGCCGTTGACGCAACCTCGACACCCGAGTCCAATGGCCTGCCTTCGTTCCCCACCGGCTCCGGCTTAGCGCGCCTCTTTCGCCCCGCCCTCTAGACCATAGAGAAGTGCGAGGCTAGAGGGTCTGTGGAACAGGCGGGTTGCTATGGAAACCGTCCTTTTGCATCCAGTTGACTGTGAACCTGCCTCTAGACTTACGAGCCTCGGAGGCCGCGTGCGGGCCAGGCTCGGGCCCTCCCCTCTTAGCCCTGTGTGATTCCGGTCCACTGCGAGGCCTCGAGACTGTCTCAGGTCCTAGTTCATCTGTTGCTTACTGCGCGTACCCATAAATACCCTTTATCTTAAATTGTGCACATTGTGCTTTAACATTCTATCCAAACTTTTTTTTTCAAGTGGTAGTCTCCTTTGTAAAATCTCATTTCTGTACATTACTTTTTGCCATTATGGGCAGCTAGGTGGCACAGTGGATAAGAGCGCTGGACTTGGAATCAGGAAGACCTCTTAATGAGTTTAAATCTGGCCTCAGATACTTATGAGCTGTTCGACCCTGGGCAAGTCGCTTCACCCTGTTTGCCTCAGTTCCTCATTTATAAAACGAGCTAGAGAAGAAAAAGGCAGCTCACTCCAGTATCTTTGCCAAGAAAATTCCAAATGGTGTCATGTAGAGTTGGACACAACTGATCAACAACAATAATTTGTAAAACACTGCTACCTACCTTACAATGTTATTGTAAAGTGCTCTAAAATTGTGAGTTATTGTAGGCTGGTTGACTTGTCACAGATGTTGCAGAGACTTTGTTTTTTAACTCTAATGCTTTTGTTATATAATATTGAATATTATAATTATATTTGTCTTATTCCACTACTAGATTGCCCCTATAAGGGTAAGGATCATTTTTCATTTAAACTTGTACACTGCTCCTGCCTTTCCTTCCACCCAGTATTTCCTAGCCCAGTATTCTGCACAGATAATAAATATTTTAAAATTGTATTTATTATTCACAGGGAGAAAGATGATTGCATGGGTGATACTTCTTCTTCCCATCCCACTTGCAATCAGGGTTATCTCCAGCCTGCCCTAGCCAACAGTTTTCTAAAAGCAAGGTGAAAGGTTCAGGGCACGTGGTGCCCTCCCCACCTATGTTCTATTTTCTCCCCTGGGATTACCAGCAGTAAAAATTTATATGGAAATCTCAAGGACTTATTCTGACTCAACAAATGACAAGGAGGTAAGGATCAGAGCCCACAGTTCTATCCTGTAATGTCATGGGAATGAGTTAGCTGAAGGGGCGGACCCAGAGTTAGTGGAAGCGAACTTACAACCCTGAGAGTTTGATAGGACATAGGGCCTCTCTGACAGCTTCGGTGAGTATATGCCATACTACACATGTGTGACTTTGAGGATGACCTTGGGCAAATCCTCTCTCCTTTCTAGGCCTCAATTTCCTTTTCTGAACTAAAAGAATTTACTGGACTTTTCAGATATCTAACTGACCTGCATCCAAGGCAGGTCCATGGTTCAGGGACCAGTCCTGCTCTCTGAAAACCAGGGAAACCATGCCCTCTCTGCCCCTCAAGCAACTCAGGTGGTAGAAAACAAAAGAGCACAGGCTTTATTTGTGTGCAAATACAGACAGTACTGGACAGAATATAAGTGCACATGTGGGAAGGGGAACACTCATGAACAAATGAGGACATCTATACTGCTCTGACTGCCTGGAGCAGGTTTGGCTTCAACACTCTGGCAGGGAAAACTGAAGAAACAGGAAGAATTAGGGGGAAGAAGTAAGCTCTACAAATACTGGGTGAAGGGATAGTGATGTTGATCAGTATCTATGGAAGTTGTAGGATTAATTGATGCAGGAGTCAATTTAGTGCCCACAGCAAGGATAAGAGATTGTGAATGAGGGCAAGGATCAAATAGTACTTGCAGCAGGGTGGGATCCGGGTGTCATCTTTCCAGAACAGGGTAAGATCAAGTCTCAAGGGTCTAGCAGTGCTTTCAACAGGGCAGGATAATTTGGAGTTCCCCAACCTGTGACTGGGTCCCAGCCGGACTTGGAACAGAACCCTTGACCCTGTACTTCCTCATCTAGGCAAGCCTCATGGCAGCCCTGAGTCACCTGTGGATAGAAGGGAAAGGGTTATACCTGAGGTCCTGTCCAAACCCCACCCCAAATGCCTCACAGCCCTCCTATATTCCCTACAAACACTGGCCTCTCTGCCTTACCCATTTTACCCCTTCATCTCTACCCCCACTCCCCCCAGCTCCCTAATCCCTTCCCCCAACTCACATCAAATAGGCCACGGCCCTGTATTGAGTAGAGTCGTGGGTTGAGGAAACCAAGAGGGGGACGGCCATTCAGGAGTCGCTGCTCATTCACTAAGGACAGGAGCCCCCCAAACACAGGGGTTGATGCCTGTGGAAGGAAGAAAGGATGCATGTGACCTAGAGCAGAAGCAGTAGGGGAAAGCAGCCTTTCTACTTGGCAGGATGAACAGCGGGGATAATGTGTGACCTCAGGAAGAAAAAGGTGATAGGATTAGTAGTCAAGGGATAGGAAAGGCCATATAGGCTCTCAGTGAGATACTGGATACTCAAGGGATGAGAAATGGGATAGGGGAAGGATTGGAGAAGACAGAGATCTAAGGGTCTCACCGAAGTGCCAGATACCCAGGGGATGGGCACATGGTTGCTAACCACCCAATAGCCATCAGAGAGTGCCGCCACATCAGGATAGGCCCGTCCACTTGCATTGTAGTAACGGGATGGAGGAAGGTGGGTGGAAGAGCCCAAAAAGTGGGACACAGCTTCATCCTGAAGAGTGAGAAGAAACAGTCATGGGGACTCTGAGCTCAGCCTGATTCTCCCTGTCAGGGCCAGATGCAATTCTCTCTCGGACACTAGGACTATCAGGAAGGGCCATGTCCTTCCTCAGGGCTTAGGACTGAGCTCTCCTGGGGCCTAGGAGGGGCTACGTTATCACTCTCACACCTGGTACTGAGGCCTTGGGAAGATGTTACTGAAGCCACCACCACTGATGTAGTCGACAATCTCTTCTGTAACCAGAAAGGGATTCCGGAAGGAGGTCCCACCCACTGTTGTAACATATGGGCTGCAGACATAGAGGTCACAGGATTAGCATTTGGGGATTCAGGTCAGCAAAAAGGGTCAGGGCCCCAAGGATCACAGGTTAGCCAGTCCCACAGGTACTGGGTTATAGGTTAGAAGGCCCCAAAGGTCACAGGTCAGGGGTGTCAAAAGTCACCATTAAAAGAAGAGAGTACCTCAGTTTGGAGTTACAAGCTTGGGAAAGATGTAGCTAAGCAGTGGTGGGGAGGAAGGTTGCTGTTACCTGGAGGCTGGGAAGCTGGGACGGAACAAGTGGCCCTTTGAGCCTGAGAAACATCCGGCACCACTGTCCCCTGATAGAAGAAACAGGGAGAGGTCAGGGGTCAGTCTCTGAAGTCAGGAGTTTGGAGAAGGGAGAAAAAATGAAGGTTTCTTTGAAGAGGCCTGAAGACAGGGGGAAGTTAGGGATGAGGAGCAAAAGGTCACTGGGTTGGGAAAAAATGGGAAATCCTGGCTGGGGGTAGGAATTCCTATAGGAAGGGATCAGGGTTAGGAATCAATTGTATTAGATCATAGTAGGGGTTAGGGGGACGGTAGGGTCTTATATCAGGATCAGGGTCCTGAGCACCAGTACCAGAGGCAAAGAGCAGGGTGAGGCCTCGGGCAGCAGCCTTCATGAATTCAGCATTGACACGGTGAAGGTAGGTGGTACTGAGTGAGTCTTCGTCGTCCCCATAGCTCACGGTGTGTACCAAAGGCAATGAAGACTCATTACTGAGCAGGAGGAGCCACTGCAAGAAAGGCTCCTGGGACTCATGCCGGCCTGCAGGTCAGAGATACTAAGGTCACCTTCCCTTCTACCCTTAGATGGGGAGCCAGACATGCCAGGGTCACCTTTCTCCCTTAACCCCAAAGTGTTTGGGGGCCAGCCAACCACACTAGTTACCTTTCATCCTCCAAAAAAGGAAGGGTTCCTTAGGTTTGGGGTGTTTCTGGGGAGAATCTCTTAGTCTCAGCTTTTGAGGGTTCTTAAGACTTTCAAGTTTTGAATCCCTGGGTTTGGACAGGGGTGAGGGGGTAGCCTACCGGGGCTGCTGTAGACCCAGGTGGAGATGTTGGCTCCAGCACTCATGAGGTACTGCACATCTAGGCTGGCTTCCAGTCCAGCTCGGCCATGCCCCTGCTGCCCAACTACTCGACTGACAGAATCTTTGTGAGGGAAGCTCTTCCCAAAGAGTTTCATAAATTCTTCCAGGTCAGCATCATGAAAGTATTGCTCCAGGAACTACAGGGGGAGGAGGAATGGAACAATAGAGGGCAAAGGTCAGGATTAGTCTGGTAACAGAAAGAAATGTATCAATTTCTCTTTTCAATGGCGTATGTATTCTATGTCACATATAGGAGAGGGGCTCACCTGGGCACAGGCCTGGCTATTGTTGGCAGACCCAGAGCCCACATCTTGTGCAGTCAGGTTGTATCTCTCACGAATCACAGCCGGGGTCACTCCCAGGTGCAGGCCTAGGGAGTCTTCTAGCTCCAGCCTTGGCCCTGGCCGTTGCTGTAGGGAAGATGCTCGAGGGAACCTGTGTAGTCCACCCACTATGCATTGGGAGGAAGAGGAATTAGCTTCTAAGAAGGACCCTATCTCCCTCCCTTCCCAAATTCCAGGATCCCCCAAACCAATTACCAAAATCCACATGGGCAGCCAGGACCCCAGGGAGGCTGTATGGACGTGGGGACCTCACAACACAGCCTCCCCCCAGTCTCCCAACAAAGCGGTGGAACTCTGCCCCAGGAAGGAGCTGCTCTGCTTGCCTGGGGGTCAGAAGTCATACAGCTGGATGTCAGTGATCACTAGAAGAAGGGTGTGGGGAAAACCTTTACAGCCCCTTATCCCTCTTTCATTGGACAGCTAGTCCCCCACTCACTGGACAGTCATCTGGCAGGTCAGGAAGTCCTCTGTGATCACTGTCTGGCAATCTTGGACTCCAGCTGCTACAAGCCATTTGTGTACAGTGCTAAGAGTGAGTGTTGATGGTCGCACCAGTGCAGCTACATCTTCTAGCAACAGGTACTTCCCTGGTGGGAAGAAGGAAAGGGTAGATCGAAGGAATTTGCTGCCATCTTTGGTAAATCTTTCATGAGCACAGGTGTTGGAGTTTAGCCCCAGCTTTCAAGGGAGAATGCTGGGGGCTAAATGGGTCCAGATCCTGGGGGATGCTAGCTCATCACTGATCTCAGTGGGCCGATGATTTTTACCATTTCCATTCCTTAAGCTTTGTCATCACAATTTTTTTCTAGATCTCCTGCATACATTTGAACACCAAATCCAGTGCTCTTTCCACAATAACACTCCAGCCAAAGAAGACTATCAGATCATCCATGTTTTGGTGCCTTTACTCACGATGTGCTTTTTCTGGAATTCGTAATCCTCCTTCCCCATACCCTCAAATTGCTGTCAAAATCCTACCCACTCTCTATGGTATATAATGTTACCTCTTGCACAGAGTTTGGAAATGAGGACTGACTCTAAGGGCAGAGTTTGAGGCTGGATTTATAAGCTTGCGAATCACCTGAATATGGGGATAACACCATAAGAGACTGGTCAGAGGATTCAAGATAAAGACAGAGAGGGGGTGGTCCAAGGAGACAGGAAGAGAACCAAGAGAGAAGTGTCCATAAAACCAATGGAGTAGGGTATCCAGGAGAAAGCTTTGGTTACCAGCCTCAAAAACTTCATTAGTCAAGAAAGAAAAAAAAATTGAAAAAAGCGCACTGAGTTTAGTAATTGGGTCATGTGTGTTATGTTGGGGGTGCAGGCAGGGTGAGAGGGTAGCTGAGAACCCCTGGCATTGAAGAAAGAAGGGATTAATATACAGCCTATACGACCCTGCGCAGCCCATTACATTCAACTCCTGGGCACGGGAGATTTTTCCTCCAATGTGTACTCATATCCGCATACCGCCTTGTCCTCCCTTCCCCTACACACACACCGTATCGGGGGGATCCGGGGTCGGACACATCCTGCACCAGCTTCTGCAGTTGCTGCAGGTTCTGCTGTCTCAGAGCGAAGGTCAGACTCAGTGATTCGTTAGGACCCACGCGGCCGAGGGACACCCATCCCGGCGGCGGCCTGGGGAGATGAGGAGTGGGTGTGTGTGAAATTGTGGTTCAGCTTCCACTTGGGAGGCTTGTACCAGACCTGGGATGATGCGCGAAAGGGGACTAAGAATGTTGGGGTTAGGCCAACCCCAAAGGCCTGGTGTCGGGGATTCGTACCAAGGGATGCTGGGGAACGGGAGAGGAGGCAGGGAGAAGGTAGGGAAGGTCGGAAGTCAAGGACCTATCGCTACGAAGGGCTGACGGGAGAACTCTGGAGGTGAAGCGTAGGAGTTTGGGGAAGGGTGATGGGACGGGGAGAAGGGCTAAGGCACTCAGGAATAACAAGAGTTCTCCTTAAGATACTTTCCTCAAATCAACCACATGAAAGAAGCAAGTAGTCTAAGAGTTGGTCTGGGGGATGAGGCTAGGGTCGGGCACTCACAGGAAAGGCTGGTCAGGCTCTGGGCCAAGGCCTCGGGCACAGACACACAAGGCGACGAACAGCAGGAGCAGGGGCCCAGGGACGCTGCGGAACAGGGGGGAGGGCGGAGTGAGCGGAGCCGTGGACACCGGAGAGCGAGCCCAGTCCCGAGCCCCCGCCCCGCCCCGGGCCCCGCGCTCACCAAACCTCCCGCCCCATGGCCGGCACCTGGGAACAGAGCAAACCCCTGCACTGCGTGGGCACTTTCCCAACTAGATGGGCGGGGTGAGGGAGGGACAAGGGGAACCCCGCCCCCTTGCAGACACGCGCAAACCCCGTGCCTGGGCTGGTCCCCATAAACAGGAGCACACAACAACCCCCCCCCACTCCCGCCCCGCCCCGCGCGTACAGCCGCTCCGCACTCACGCACACTCACCAACAGGCACAACACCCCCAAACAAAGAGAGGCAGCTCCAGGTACAAACAGTCTCTTTATTAAGGCTCCGGAGTGAGAGTATTTGGCACTTTGGGTCTGGGTACGAGGGCAGCATGAGCTTCCCCCTCACCCAATAAATAAGGATCCGGGGCCTTGGGAGAGGGGATTCTGGGAGCAGTTGAGCCCCCAGGGCAGAGCCCCAGCCCTCACCTCTCCAGGGCAGAGATCTCACTGTCTTATCCCTGCAGAGTACCCCCTCTCTGAGCCCCCAGGACAGAACTCCTTCTCTAAGCCCCTTTCAGGTCGGAATCCACCCCCAACCCTCGGCTATATCCCAAGGGCAGAGTTCCTACTCTTGATTACCCTTCCAAGGACAATGCGCTCTCTCTGATTATCTCTTACCTAGAGAGGCCGCCTCCCCTCCCCCGACCCCCCCATCCTATTTCCCCCAGTTCTGATCTGAGTTCCCATCAACACCCTCCTTTCCACTTGCCTGAGAACCTTAGACCCCTGGAGACCCAGCCAGGCCTGCTCCTTCCTCTCCTAGGTTCAGGAACACCAGCCCTGAAAACATCAGGGCTCAAAGAAGCAAGCCCCCAGCTTGGGGGGCCGGGGCGGTTTAAGGGGAGAGTGGAGGGACAGTGCAGATGTTGGTAGGAACCGGGGCAAAGAAAAGAGGGACCTAAGAGGCAGATTCTGGTAAGTATATTGCCCTGCTCAGTTCTGGGGAGTGGAGTTTTTGTAAGATAGGGAAACCAGCACCGTACTGGTTGTGGGACATGTCAGAATCAGGCAGAGGAAGGAAACGTTAAGGTAGTTTAGGGAGATATGAAGACAAGTATTGCTTCTGAGCCAGATCTGAGAGGCATGAGGATGGTTGTTGACCCAGGTCCAGTTTTGGGAGGTGTGCTGAAGGCCAGGATTTTCTGCTTTCTGGTAGGAGAAGACTCCAGTCAGAGGCTAGATGAAGCATCCGACCATTTGGGAAGAGGGGAATTGGATGAAGACTGGTAGGACTCCTAGCCAAGGATGTCTGGTGCCAGATCCCATAGAGTTGAAAGATCTGGGGAATGTGTGTTCGTGTGTATATTGGTCTTCAGATTGAAGATGAGAGATCTAAGAGAAGGGAATGGTCAAGAAAGTATACATGTTGGTGTAAACTTTGGGCTCTGGGGGATATATATGATAAGCCCAGGTCTGGGGAACAAAGATTGAACCCTGGGGACCTGGGATATGCATATACTGATTCCTGGAGACCAGGGGATGTAAGCTGGGCCTTGTATATGCTGGGCCTCAAGAGTTGTATACACTAGGTCCAATAGGCAGGGTATATATACGTTGGGCCCTGGGCCCCAAGGGATATATATGCCGAGCCCTGGGGGAATCTAGGCTGGGCCTGTTAGGGCCCCTCTGTCAGGTTTGGTGACTGAATTTGTTCTCTAGGAGGGGGTATCTCTGGGGAGCCAGATATTGTCCCCACCAGGGGGAATCAGTGGACCCTGGAGTAATTCCTTGCCCCAACCTAGGGATGGGAAGAGATGGAACTGGGGAGAGGCTTCTAGGGGACAGGCCAGTGGGCTCATCCTGTGTCCTCATGACTACGCAGGGGGCCCTGGGAGCTTTCCAGTCTAGATATGCAGCTCTGCCTCATCAGGGGCCTCCAGGCCAGGCTCTGCACTCAGAGCTGAGGCAGAGGGTCCTTGTGCCACCCCAAAGGGGGAGACAACAGGGGAGCGGGCGGCCAGTGGTGACAGTGAAGGTGAAAAACTGGGGGACATGGCAGCTGAGGACAGGGATCCTTCATGGCTAATGGGGGAGCGGTGGGTGGGCAGGAAGGGACCACGGACTGCTGGGCCTGAAGAGGAGCTAGCTGGCTTAGGGGGTACAGACTTGGCCCCAGGGTGGGCCACAGCGGTAATGAGGGGTGGTGGGTCAATGCGGGGCGCGGGTGGGCAGGGCCGTGCCTCGTCCTTGAGCCGAGCAATCTCAGTGAAGACACTGGCCAGTGGCTGGAACTGGGGACACCAGCTCAGCAGGTAGTCCCAGTTGTAGCTGCCCCGAAGCTCCTCTTCGCCCGCCACTATGGCTGTTAGCGCCCCCGCTACACAGGGCTTGCCATCAGCAGGAAAACCATAGTCTCCAGGAGGGGCAGGGCTCAGGCCACAGCCTCCTAGGAAGGCCCCGGCAGTGCTGGCAGCTGGTGGACCCTCTTCTCGATAGAGCCCTGGACCAGGGCCTGGGAGCAGCAGCCCAGCCTTTCGGCCCTTGTACCAGGCATCAGGTGGAGGTGGCTCACAGGACGTATCACTCAGTCCATCAGCATCGGCGTCCTGTTGGATGCCAGAGTCAGGGCCACGGGCGGCCAATGAAGAAGCAACGCTGGCCACTCTGGGGAACTCATTGATCATCCGTATCTCATCATCTTCAGCTGCCTCCGCAGAACCACGCCCACTGGAATGGGAAGGGTCCAGGGAGCCACCACGGGGGTAAGGACCACCAGTGCTAGGCCCGCCATATCCAGGTAGTGTCTGGTGGTAAAGGTGTTCAGAATGTGGGGGGCTGGGGGCATCCCGGCCTGGTTTTTGCAGGGAGCTGGTGCTAACTGGGGCAGGTGGAAGAGTGGGCCCTGGGGCTGCCTCCGCCTTGTGAGCACGAGCACGCACCAGCCCCAACACCAAGGCTGCTAGTGCCAGTACCACCACCACACCCAGCGAGGCTGCCACAGCACCCACTAACAGCAGGTTGAGGTCAGGTGCTAAGCCTAGAGCTGTGTGGGTTATGTCCACAGTCACAGGTACTGCAGCACTTCGGGCTCCAGGCAAGGGCCCTCGAGCCACCACCTCAAGCTGTAACTCCCGGGGTGCCTCCCGTCTTGCGCGGCCCCCTCCCCCGGCTTCACTGGCCCCAGTGCCTGGTGCCTGGCTGTCCACTCGAAGGTACAGAGCACCTGTGGTCTGGTTGATCCCAAAATATGGAGAGGGAGCAGAAAGAGAGTATAGGATCACACCATCAGCACCTCCATCCTCATCTGTGGCCAGTACGTGGCCTAGACTGTAGCCCTGACGGGCACCCTCAGGCACTTGAAAGTGGAATGAAGGTGCTAGGAAGACAGGATCATACTCATCTTCACCAGTTACTAGCACAGACAAGGTAACTGAGGCTGAGAGGTTCCCTGCATCTGCTGCACTCACAAGCAACCGGAAGCTACGGGTATGCTCATAGTCGAAAGGCACTCTTGCCCGAAGTTCACCTGATGAGCCATTCAATGCAAACATGTCCCAATGTGTAGCCCCCAATCCTGACCCTGATCCTGGCTCTAGTAGCATGTAGTAGAGCCGCCCAAAGGCCCCAGTGTCCTTATCCAGGGCATGGAGTGTGGTGACCAGTGTTCCCGGAGGCTGGTTCTCGGGTAAGCTGGCACTCAGGGTAAGTAGAGGAAAGGCAGGCCTATGCTCGTTGACATCTTGTACCTCCACAATAACTGGCACCAGTGCAAAGTGGGCTCCATTGGGGTCAGCTGCCTCAACCACCAGTTGATGCTGTGCCTGGGCTTCTCGGTCTAGCTGTCGTGCCAACCGGAGGGCACCTGAGCTTTCATCCAGCTCAAAGAGGTGTGCAGGGTCCCCAGAACTGATGGTGAAGTGAACCAGACCATGAGGTCCAGGATCAGCATCAGAGGCTGCTACACGCAACAGCTCAGTGCCCACAGGGGTGTCCTCTGGCACAGCCACACGGTAATGGGGCTGGGCGAAGACCGGTGGATTGTCATTGACATCTTGCACAGTGATGACGACCAGGACAGTTGTGCTTCGTGGAGGCTTCCCTCTATCCTCTGCACACACAGTCAAGTTATATTCAGTGACACTCTCAAAGTCCAGTGGCTCAAGCAACACAAGGCAGCCTAAGGCCTGTGGGCCAGATCCACCTTCTGCCAGGTGCCTTTCCAATTGGAAGGCATGACCACGGTTGCCACTGATGATAGTATAGTCCAATGTAGCATGGAGTTGGCTTTGGTCAGCATCTGTAGCTTCTAGGACTAAAACTGTGGAGCCTGGGGGCATGTCCTCAGCAACAGTGATGTGGTAGTGTGGCTGGACAAAGCTAGGAGTGTAGTCATTCTCATCTTGTAGCTGAATATGTACTGTGGCCTGTGCTGTCCGCCCTGGGACCCCATGATCTCGTGCTTCCAGCACCATGTCCATTGTGCTCAAACCTCCCAGGCTTAGGGAGGCTGCTTGAATCATGAACAAGGTCCCTAAATGACAGAACATGGATATTAGTGGGAAGAAGAGTGCATGTGGGGGAAATGCAAATTGGGAGTGGAGGGAGGCCAGTGGTCAGGACATGGCTGGGGGGATGTAGGAGAGTGAGGAAGAAACAGGTTGGAGAGAGTAGGGTGAGGGGTGAAAGCTGGAGGCCAGTAGGGGCACAAACATAATATTATAGTTATTCATCCTCCCATTATACTGAGCTCTATGAGGGTAGGAATCAACTTTGTATTTTCCCTAGTGCACACAATAGTTGTGTATTAAATATTTGATGACTGAATGAATAAAAATGGGGTAGGGGAAAACTGGAGAAGAAATCAGAGTCCAAGGAGGAAAGGGGGGGAGACAGGAGGGAACTAGGGAAGGAGGTGGGGAGGGCAGTGGCACCATTGCTGGGGTCGATGTCAAAGCCCTCTGCAGCGGACACCAGGTGGTAGGAGATGCGGCCGTTTTCCCCAGAATCAAGGTCAGTGGCAGAGATGGTGAGGATTGCACTGCCTGGGATTGTGTGCTCTGGCAAGGTCACCTGGGGGAAGAGGATGGATGTGAGCATGACTATGGGAGCAGC